TCCTCCTCTTCCTTCCTCGTTTCCAGCTTCTCTGCGCTCTGTTGTCACCCGTTCTCGCCGCTGGGCCCCCCTACGGATGGTAAAAAGTGTCACGCCTGGCCGTAACGCGTTCCGTCCTGGCAGCTGCTCTCTGCAATCGCTGCTCTAAATGGTACCAAGTCATCGCGAACCACGGATCGGACGAAAGCCTCAAATTGCGCACCCCCTATGCCCAAATTCAACCAAAAGTCAATCTTCCACGGATCTGAGCTGTGTTCTGAGATTCGCAATGCCTTCCAAATCCGCCTCAATGTCATGTTGAACTGAAGAGATATACAAGGGAGCTCCCGCCATGGCACAACAGAAAATGAAAAGAAACCAATACGTCCGAACATCAAGCAGGTCCTCAATACCCAGGTGCAGCACTCGTTGATGGGGCATCACGCATCACGAATCTGATCCAACTGGGCTGAGCCACCACCTTGAGCCGTGACTATACCGTGTGTATATATACATGTGTATAAACATACTTGTGTGGCAGACACGTACATCCACACATATAGACACATATGCATTACCCAACCAAACATTGTTAAATATTAGGGGTTGTTGCTTTTTACGGTGGGGCTGGGCCTGGCCGTCGGTCTGGCGGCTATGTGGTCGTCGTCGCCGCCTCGTCGCCGCCCGTTTTCTGGGCCTGCTTGTCGTCTGGCGGCTTTGTGGTCGCCGCCGCCGCCCCGTCGCTGTGGGCCTGCCCGTCGGTCTGGCGGCTATGTGGCCGCCGCCGCCGTCGCCGTCTGGGCCTGCGCTGCTTTTCATTGCATTGCGTCCGTTTACATTGCATACCGTTGACTTGCATTGCATTCCATCCGGTGGCTTGCACTGCTCTGCATGGATTTGCGTTACTTCGCCTGGCTGTGCACTGCTCAGCGGTGCATTGCTTTGCATTGATTTAATTTTACATTGGTTTGCGCTACTTTGAACAGACCTGCATTGCGTTGTGTTGCAATGCTCTACGTTGTATTGTTTGGCATTGTTTTGCACCGCGTGAATCGCACCAACCAAATTCCCCCCCACTGATTGCACGAAACTGACTGCACCGCGCTGATCGAAAAAAAACACATGTGCTGATGTCCACGATGTCCCGGGTGGGACGGCGACAACAAGAAACGACGACACAAACAACATCAACAACACCAACACCAACAACAACAATAAAAACAACAACCACAACCGCAACCACAAACACATCACTCCGCACTGCAGAACCTCACTTCAGCCACGCGCCCAGGGACAACGTGCATATAAATATATATATATATATATATATATGTGTGTGTATAGTCACCTTTGCACCTAAATCTATATATGTATATGTTCCCAACCATCCTGTGGTGTTGGATCCTCGTTTTCAGAAGAACGCGCCCCGCGTCCGCTGCCCTCCTCCTTCCCCTCACATGTTTTGTTGCCCCATAGGGGGCCCCGCCGAAGGCCCAGGTGCCAGCGCCTGAATCCGCCCACCGCACCCATTTGGGGACACCCCTCACACGCTGCGCGACCCCGTGGGAAGCCCCACCGAAGGCCCACATGCCAGCACTCGCATGCGCCTGCCGCAGCCGAACTCCCCTCACGCGTTTCGTGGCCTCACAGGATCTCCACCGAAGGGTCAGGCGCCAGCGCTCGCACGCACCCACCGCACCCATTTTGGCGCACCCCTCACACGTTTTGTGGCCCCATAGGGTGCTCCCCCGACGGCCCACATGCCAGCGCTCGCATGCGCCCACCGCATCCAGTTTGGCACACCCCTGACACGTTTTGCGGCCCCATAGGGAGCTCCACCGAAGGCCAACATGCCAGCGCTCGCATGCGCCCATCGCATCCATTTTGGCACACCCATCACACGTTTTGTGGCCCCATCAAGAGTTCCACCGAAGGCCCACATGCCAGCGCTCGCATGCGCCCACCGCGCCCATGTTGGGACCCCCCTCGCAAGCTTCGTCGCCGCATAGGGAACTCCACCGAAGGCCCAGATGCCAGCGCTCGCATTCTCCCACCGCACCCATTTGGGCACACCCTTCACACGCTCCGTGGCCCCAAAAGGAGCTCCACCGAATGCGACGCATACAACAGCAGTGCCAACAACTGCATATGGTTTGGTCTTTCGCCAAGCTAGGTTTGTATAAACAGGAAAAATGTCAGAGTGAGTGGCCGAAGGGTCATTCACTTTCCCTGGGCGCGTGGCTGAAGTGAGGTTCTGCGGTGCGGATTGTTGTTGTTGTTGTTGCTGCTGTTGTTGTTGCTGGTGTTGCTGTTGTTGGTGGTGGTGTTGGTGGTGCTATTGTTGTTAAGTTGTTTGTTGATATTGTTGTTGTTGCTGATGTTGCTGTTGTAGTTTGTCATCGTCGTCCCCTCCGCGACCCACCTGCGACCCACCCGCGACCCATCCGCGACCCACCCCGCAACCCGCCCGCGACCCACCCCGCGACCCACCCGCGACCCACCCGCGACCAACCCGCGACCCATCCGCGACCCGGCCCGCGACCCGGCCCGCGACCCACCCGCGACCCGGACCGCGACCCACCCGCGACACAACCGGGACCCACCCGCGATCCACCCTGCGATCCACAAAAAATCAGCCCCTGCGGCGGGCTCACTGCATAATTTGAAAATTGAACGCCTGCGGCGGGCTACTTCAGAGCCTCGCAGACTGCCGACGTCCTCTCCGCCCACTTACTCTTTTCCGCAACTGCGGGGTGCTACGATAGAGACAGAGAGAGAAAGAAAAATGAGAGAGAGAGAGAGAGACAGTGAGAGGAGGAGAGAGAGAGAGAAACAACAAATGAGAGAGAGGGAGAGACAGAGAGATAGAACGAGAGAGAGAGAGAACGAGAAAGAGAACAACAACACAACAACAACAACAACAACAACAACAACAACAACAACAACAACACCAACAACAACAACAACACCAACAACAACAACAACAACAACAACAACACCAACAACACCAACAACAACAACAACAAAAACAATCATGTTCAGACTGTTCGCTCTTATCTGCTCGAGTGTCGAATGACGCGAATTTCCCAAACCCTCGATACCCGCCCTTTTCGTCTTCGATCGAACCCCTTTTGGGGGGTACCTTTCTTCCCTGCAGGCCTGGCCCCGGCAAGCGGCGGGGCGGCCGCGGACCGTCGGCCTGGCCAGCGGCAGCGCTGATCGGCGGGGCGGCCGCGGACCGTCGACCCGATCCCAAGAGGGACGGACAGGGGACCGACCACGACGACGACGACGTCGACGACGACGGCAACGACGGCGACGGCGACGACGACGAGCGAAAGCGAGAGCGAGAGAGGACGACAGCAGAGCCACGAAGGACACGAAGTAGGCCACGAAGGGCGACAGCGGGGACACGAAGGAAATGCGTATGGGGCCACCACGGGCGCGAACGAGCGGGGGCCACGAAGGGCATACGTATGTTGGGCCGCGGAGGGTACGGACGGGGCCACTGAGGGCAGCAACGGGGACACGAAGGGCAGCGAGGGGGCCACGAAAGGCGACAGCGGGGCCACGAAGGGCATGCATATGGGGCCACCACGGGCGCGAACGAGCGGGGGCCACGAAGGGCATACAGATATGGGGCCACGAAACAAAGCGAGGGGGCCACGAAGGGCTGCAACGGGGCCACGAAGGGCAGCGAGGGGGCCACGAAGGGCTGCAACGGGGCCACGAAGGCTGCAAGCGAGGGGGCCACGAAGGGCTGAAACAAAGCGAGGGGGCCACGAAGGGCTGCAACGGGGCCACGGAGGGCAACGAGGAGGCCACGAGGGGCTGCAACGGGGCCACGAAACAAAGCGAGGGGGCCACGAAGGGCTGCAACGGGGCCACGACACAAAGCGAGGGGGCCACGAAGGACTGCAACGGGGCCACGAAGGGCAGCGAGATCCCGATTCCTAGGTAATCTGTGAAGGAGTCCTAAGCGTGAGCGCGACTCCTGGGTGCCTGGGTGTCGGGAGCGCGGCGCTGGAGTAAATTGCAAGAAATGCCAACGCAAGGGCACTATTCTTCAGCAAATTGCAAGTAAGTCTCCAGCGAGAGCGCGACTCCAGAGCGCAGGAGGAGCGATTCCTGAATAAATCGTAAAGAAGTCCCAAGCGAGAGCGCGATCCTTGAATAACATGCGAGGAAGTCTCGGGCGGGAGCGGGGGTCCTGGCTAAATTGTAAGGAAGTCTCAGGCGGGAGCCGTTGTTGTCGTAACCCGTGGGCCAGGGGCCCAGTTTGAGCAGGAATACTTTCTTTGACAAAAAACAAAATGCGAGCCCCGGGGGGGGCACTTCAATTGAAAAAATCAGTGCACCGGTGGGGGGGATCAACAATAATTATTCTTCAATAATGAGAGCTCAACAACACACAAAAACAACAAAGACAGAGACCGAGACAAAGACAGAGAGAGCTCCAACCCCTATGACTTGTCCGTACTGTGCCCCGTCAGGCCGTCGGGGCTCCCTCGGGCACTGTTTTCCCTCCGTTCGCGGCGCCAGGCGTGCCGACCCCTCCCCCGGAGCTGCAGGCCTCGATCCAGAGCCCCTCGTGGTGGCCGCAGGGGCCCCGGAGACCGCGCTCCCAGAACCCGAGACCGCGGCGCAGCGCCCTGGGCTGCCACCGTCACGTCGCTGGAGCTCTGGGGCCGGCCCCTGCCGAGGCAAAAGGAGGGCTGCCCCACTATGCTTGATCCTGGCCGGCTTCTTCCTCCTCCTCCTCCTCCTCCTCCTCCTCCTCCTCCCCCTCCCCCTCCTCCTCTCTCCTCCTCCTCCTCCCCCTCCTCCTCCTCCTCCTCCTCCTCCTCCTCCTCCTCCTCCTCCGCCTCCTCCTCCCTCCCCCTCCTCCTCCTCCTCCTCCTCCTCCTCCTCCTCCTCCTCCTCCTCCTCCTCCTCCTCCTCCTCCTCCTCCTCTCCTCCTCCTCCTCCTCCTCCTCCTCCTCCTCCTCCTCCTCCTCCTCCTCCTCCTCCTCCTCCTCCTCCTCCTCTCAACGTTTCTCGGCCTCCCGCCGAGGGTGCCCGGGCCCCAGGCCGGTGGGGAGCCCGCCACCGGCACCTGCAGCAGGGCCAGCTCCTCCCGCGACCGTCGAGCCTCGGCGGTCCTCCCTTCTCGGCGCACGCTCTCGCAGAGCCCACCGCTTCCGCGCAGGCGCGCGCCCGCGCAGCGCGCGCGCGCATCGCGCGCGCAGGTGGCCAGAGTGACTCTCAGCGCTCGATGCCTGGCGCCTGTGGTCGGGACCGACGGGGGGGAGGACACGGAGGAGGCGGGGAGACGACGAGGGGAAGCCCGCGGGAGAGGGAGAGAGAGAGAGAGGAGGAGAGGAGGAGAGGGGCGCATCCAGGGTGGGGCGGGAGGAGCCAGAAGGAGGGGAAAAGAGGGAGGGAGGGGGCTCAAGAGTAACACGAGGAGGAGGAGGAGGAGGAGGAGGAGGAGGAGGAGGAGGAGGAGGAGGAGGAGAGGAGGAGGAGGAGGAGGAGGAGGAGGAGGAGGAGGAGGAGGAGGAGAGAGGATGGAGCGGGAGGGTGGAGGAGAGTGTGGAAATCATGAGAACGAAGAGGAACGATGAGATGCAGGAGGGGGGAGGGGCATGGAGACCAGGTGGAGAAACGGAGGGCAAAGCACGAGTGAGGACGGGGGGGAGAAGGGAGGACGGGGGAGGGGGCGATGAGGGAGGATAGATGAGTGAAGACAGGGGCGGAGGCGGGAAGGACGAGAATTGAGAAGGGAGATAGGTGGAAGAGGGAAGACGACGGCGGAGGGGGAATGAAATGGAATGGGACAGCGGACGAAGTCAGAGCAAGCACTACCTGCAGGCACTTCCGAGTCAAACGAACTATTGTGGGCTCAGGTCGGGCGTGCCCCCCTACAGGCGGATTTTGGACGACAAATCAAAAATTGTCGAATCGTAAACGAACATTGCCAAACGCATGGTCAAACAAGAGTCCTCCGACTATTTTCGTTTTACTATTTTTGAGCATTCCCCGTAGAGGGGCATACCCGACTTACTATCAGGCCTGCGGCCTCGACCCCGACTGCACCTGTCGAGCAGTTCCCTGCATGCTTCACCTGTGGAGGAGCGGTCGCGAGGCCCGGCCGACGCGCGCAGCTGGGCCACCCCTAACGACACGCACAGACACACACGCGACACACGCACAACGCACACGCACGCACACAACACACACACGCACACGCACACGCACACGCACACGCACACGCACACGCACACGGACACACGGACGCACACACGCAGGCACGCACGCACGCACGCACGCACGCACGCACGCACGCACGCACGCACGCACGCACGCACGCACGCACACACGCACACACGCACACACGCACACGCACACACACACACACACACGCACACACACACACACGCGCACACGCACACGCACTCACACACACACACACACGCACACACACACACACACACGCACACACACACACACACATACACACACACACACACCACACCACAGATCCAGCAGTGGGACCCATCCCCTTCAAAGAACTGAACTTTTCCCGGGCCGTCCGCCGAGACCCAACAGCCGCCAGCCCCGCGGCCGCACCCGGCGCGCTGCCCGCTCGGACCTGGCACCTCCTGGCGGCCAGCCCGTCCGCCGCGTGCGCGACGAGAAGGAACGGGTCCGACCCGAGAACCCATGGCGATCTCACGCCGCGGCTTACGCGGGCCGCCAGCGTGGCATACCGCATGGAGGAGGGGGCGATCACGGGAGACCCTGTGCGGGAGGCTCACGCGCGAGTGCCGGCGCAGCTGGGCGCTGCCTAATAGGGGGGGGGGGGGTGCGGTGCTCCTTTTGGGTCCCAGGGGGGCCCTTTAGGGCCCCTGTCAGGGCACGGAAGGTGCACCTCTCTTCACCCAGGACGAAGATAAACTCGGGGGAAGAAAAATCGAGCATCTCTGAGATCTGGCGGCTCTCGAGGACGTCTCGGGCGCCGCGGCCTTCTCAGAGAGCTCACCGAGAGCATCCCGGAGCGCTCTGGAACGGATCCCTCCTCGGCCTCGCCGCGCCCGACTTCCCCCCTCCCCATTTTCGCCCCCCCCCTCCCCCCCTCGCGCAACTGGGGAAACCAGAAGGCACCGATAGATACCGCTACCCCCTGGAATTCTCTCCCGGGGTGCGTCCTGACCAGAACTTCGAGGCGAACCCAGCGGCGGCGACGAGGGCCTCCGAAGCGGCCAGAATAGGGGACAACGGGCGGAGGGTGGCGGTATGGGTACTCCAGATTTCGTAATGAAAGGGAGGGGGTCTGGACCCTCCAAGACAAGCCATTTCAGACCTGCCCCGTGGGAGAACCCTCCAAAAGATCGTGCCCAGACCCCCCAGGCCCTCCAAGATAGCCTGGAAGAGACCCCCCCCCCGAAATGAGACCCCCCTCCCTTTATTACAAAATCTGGAGTACCTTTTCCCCCTCGGCAACGCCCCACGCCGTCGACCCCGTCCTCTCCCGCTGCCCACGCGGCTCCGTCTGCGCGCACGGCAGGCGGCCCGCGGCCCGCTCCACGCGCCCCGCGCCGCCTCTGTGCGCCGCGGTGGCGCGCCCGCGCCCCCTCGCGGGCACGAGGCGAGCAGGGCCCTTTTAAAAACCAGGCGCCGCCGGGAGGGCGCCGCCGCAACGGGCCGCCGCCGCCCTCTCTCGCTCTCGCCGGCGCCCGCCGCCGCGTGCGCCCGCCTCCCCGCGGGCATGGGCCCCACGCGGCTGGGCGCGGGAAGCCCCGAGTCGTCCTGCCTGTACATTCAAGCTTGGGGCGGAGGGCCCTCCTCCTCCTCCTCCTCCTCCTCCTGCTCCTGCTCCTCCTCCTCCTCCTCCTCCTCCTCCTCCTCCTCCTCCTCCTCTCCTCCTCCTCCTTCTCCTCCCACCTCCTCCTCCTCCTCCTCCTCCTCCTCCTCCTCCTCCTCCTCCTCCTCCTCCTCCTCCTCCTCCTCCTCCTCCTCCATCTCCGGAGGGGATTGGCTGGCCCCCACCAGCGCTGATCCCTTGACGAGGCCCCGACGGCGAAGGCGAGCGGAAGGCCCCAGGGTTTGGAGGGCGCTCTTCCCTCAGGACCCCCCTTGCTTCAGGGCGAACCTCTTCGCACGAAAGGAGCGGGTCCTGAAGGAAAAAGGTTCTGCACCCCGGGGGCTTTCGTTTTTTTTACCTAATAGCTTTTGCTGATAAGTTTCTAGTGGACTCAAAAAAAAACAGCAAATGACTCCACAGGGGGGTCGGGGCGGGACCCGGGGCGGCTGCCGCCGAAGCCGAAATCGCTTGGGACATCCTCGCAAAGTCGCTTTTGGTGCTCCCAGAACTCCATTCCCAGGCCACATTTTGGATGCCCGGAACCAACTGTAGGCCACTTCGTGCTCTTCGACTTCCCAGAACTCCATTCCCGGGCCACATTTTGGATGCCCAGAGCCAACTGTAGGCCACTTCGTGCTCTTCGACTTCCCAGAACTCCATTCCCGGGCCACATTTTGGATGCCCGGAGCCAACTGTAGGCCACTTCGTGCTCTTCAAGTTCCCAGAACTCCATTCCTGGGCATGATTTTGAATGCCCGGAGCCAACTGTAGGCCACTTCGTGTTCTTCTAGTTCCCAGAACTCCATTCCTGGGCCACATTTTGAATGCTGAGGCAGGCTGATGCTGCGGCGAGGCAGGCTGAGGCTGAGGCAGGCTGAGGCTGAGGCCGAGGCTGAAGGCAGACTGAGGCTGAGGCTGAAGCAGACTGAGGCTGAGGCTGAGGCAGGCTGAGGCTGAGGCTGAAGCAGGCTGATGCTGAGGCAGGCTGAGGCTGAGGCTGAGGCTGATGCAGGCTGAGGCTGAGGCAGGCTGAGGCTGAGGCCGAGGCTGAAGGCAGACTGAGGCTGAGGCTGAAGCAGGCTGAGGCTGAGGCTGAGGCAGGCTGAGGCTGAGGCAGGCTGAGGCTGAGGCTGAGGCAGGCTGAGGCTGAGGCTGTGACTGCGACTGCCGTTGCCGCTGCGACTGTCATCGCGAATGCGACTACGACTGCGAGAACAGCAGAATTCTACAACTGGATTTTCATCTGAATCTTAAGGGGAATGCTTTCAGATATGCTTCTACACATCGCTGTTAGGTTGCTTTGCCGGGATAATTTTGTATCTCTCTCTCTCTCTGGCTCTCTGGCTCTCTCTCTCTCTCTCTCTCTCTCTCTCTCTCTCTCTCTCTCTCTCTGTATATATATATATATATATATATATATATATATATATATATATAGCAAGTACGGACACTCCTGGGCGGCCATGCAGCGAAAGCTGTCTCGATGAGACCTCATTTTCTCGTGTGCATGCGCGAACGGCAACCATGGGAAGCGAGCTATACTGGGGCGGTCAAGCGCCCCTCTGAGACATAAGCAAGCACAACTCCAGCAGGCGCTATACAGACGGGACCAAGAGGAGAAGGGGAGAGGTGGGTGGGTCGGAGCTTGAGCAGATCGGCCGCGGAAGCGCGGTGCGGCCGCCTGCTCGCTCCCCTCCTCGCTTCACGATGTGAAATCTCCCAGCAAGTACGGACACTCCTGGGCGGCCATGCAGCGAAAGCTGTCTCGATGAAACCTCATTTTCTCGTGTGCATGCGCGAACGGCAACCATGGAAAGCGAGCTATACTGGGGCGGTCAAGCGCCCCTCTGAGACATAAGCAAGCACAACTCCCGTTCCCCCAAACGGGCAGACTGGCCTACGGCCGGAGCCCCAGGGGCTACTAAAAGAATATTGAAATTCACGAACACATGATGACAGCTAGACGAAGACCGTGCATCTGCTCGGAAGAGTGCGCCAGGACAGCGGCAGCAGATCGGGCAAAGGGCAAAGGGTAGGCGGCGGCCAGGCTGGTCCACTTGCGGCCGCCTGGAGCCGTCCCTGACAGTTCTATGTGATGCTCGCCCGTGCGAGAGCAAATCCCTTTCTTTCCACTGCATTTACGAGTAAGTGGCTGCATGCTGGAGATGTTCCATCCCTGCAATCGAGTGGCTTTACGCCAGCGAGCACCATACTGACAGAGGTGGCACACTACACAGCTGGATTCTGGTTGAGCACTGAGGCGAGCGAGACGCGGCGCCGCCCAGAGCAAAGAAGTCTGCGGATTCTCGAGCAGGACTGGCACACTAAAGAGGTTGGCCAACGTTATCACGCGGCACGAAAAGTGAAGGGTCGCATTACCTATACGAGCTCTAGCAGACTCGCTCTCCGAGAGGCCGGGCAGTCCCATTGGGGAGGTAGCATCGCGAAGAGGTTTACGAAGGGCTTGTGTCCAAGACGTGCACGGAGTGCCTAAGAAAACTCCCAAGACAAGGCCACTCTTGATCCAGCCACAAACGAGCCTTTCAAAAGTTTTGTCAAGATGATCCTCACAGGGGCCATGCAATAGGTCTAAACTGAGAGCTCCAAATCCTTCAGCCCGAAAAGCCTTAGCGACCTGACCAGTCCCACCAAAAAGTTCCAAGAAGACACCGTGCTGCCGCTTGCGGGCAGACTTGAGCTGGCCGGCGAGCAGCCGCTTCAAATGACGCTGAATCTGAGCAGGAGAAGCTACGGCAGCGCGGCTGCGATCAGCGCCTGCACGGGCGCGGGCAGCTGCTGCCACAGGCGCGGACGCTGCGGCAGGGCGGGCCCCAGCTCGACAATCTCTAGCAGGTTGGCAAGCACGAAGCGGCCGAACACGAAGACCCAATCTGGGACTTTGGTCAAGGCATCCTGGAAGTAGGCCCCTTTGGCGTACCGCTTCATGCTGCCCGGCGAGGCCCACCTGCCATGCCTCCGCGTCAGCTCCAAGGTTCTCCTCCCCTCCAGCAGGTCCCAGCTCGCCCCGCCGTGGCGCAGCGCGTACAAGGTCGGGTTGAGGGCTTGGAGCCGAAGCAGATCGGCGAACTCCCTGAAGCGCTCGCGCAGCGCCGGCAGGGTGAAGTCCCAGAGGTTCTGGTCGAGGCCCACAACGCCTTTGAGGCCGGCAAGCAGCGGCCACCAGTGCCGGTCGAGATCGATCACCACGCTCTCGTTGTACAACCCTGTCTTGCCTGGGCGGCCGCCGCTGGTTGGGTGCTAAAGCAGCGCCCAGCAGGCCGCCGAGGCCGCGGCCTGCGCCGCCGGGCGCACTAGCGAGCCGCCGCGGAGCCCCTGCGCCTCGAACGGCCTCAGGTAGCAGCTGAAAGACAGCAGGATCCAGAGGGCCATGCGGCGACGCTCGCTGATGGCCAGGAGCCCGACAAGCGCTGCCGCTGCAAAGTACGGCAGGGGGACGCGGGTCATTGAAGGCACGCGCCTCGCCCACGAGACCGAGCTCCGGGGGGCCCGCGGCAGCTGCGCCTTCCACGAGCCCTGGAGGCCTGGCAAGAAGTGCGCCAGAGACGCCAGCAGCAGCGAGCCCTGGCTGGCAGGGGCCCCGAGCTCGAACTGACGGTTCAGAGAGCGAGTGGCCACTGAGTCGAGCTGGTCGAAGTCCTTCCAGTCCAGGCGGCTCGCAGAGCAAAAGGCGGTGAACTCTGTCAGGACCCGCCGATACTGCTCCTCCGTGCTGGACCGCACCGCAAGCGTCTCCAGGGCGCTGAGCCGCCCGAGCGGCGGCCGCTCGGCCATCAGGCGGCCGGCCAGCGCTGCTCGCCTGCCTTGGGCCTCCAAGGCAGCTGGCGGCGGCCTCCTCGCAGGTCGGCGAAGGACTGCAGGGCGACCAGCAGCCTGGCGGCGCCTCGCCGCCATGCGCCACAGGTGGCGCTGCACGGGCGTCGGAATCTGAAAACCAGGTGCGGCGCCCTCGAGACAAAGCGTCGGCGGGGTTGCGCTCTGACGGAATCCATCTACAGTGCAATCTCGTTCCTGTGGCAAACGACATCATACAAATCTTTAACAGTGGAAATTGTAAATAAGCTGAGGATGTTCTTCCTTTCGCAACGGCTAGACACAAAGGCATGTTATCGACAAGTGCCAGAACCCGTTTCCCTCGGCAGGCTGAAGACCTCAAGAGATGCTTGTAAGCGACCACCAAGGCGTCTGCTTCCAATCCCAAGATGTTCTGGCCCTCCTGGACCTTCGTGGCCACCACGCCCTTCCAAGACTTAGCATCCAAGAGACCCATGGGCACCTCGTTGAACTCCTTGACCTTCTTGCCGAGATCCAGGATCAGGGGGTCCTCGCTGTGGAGCTCCGTGTCGGGGTCCTCGGGAATCTCGTAGGGGTCCAGCGTGCCAGGCGAAGCCGAGACGAAGTTCAACTGACTGGGATCAACCGAGACCCCCCTCCCCTCTGACTCGCAAAGACCTGCATCCGACAACGAGGCACGAGGCAGGCAGGCGGGAGCAGCGGAGAGGAGCGCTCGATCTCTCGCACGCGCCCCGCCCTCCACACGATACCGCCACCGTTCGCACAGCCGCCCACAGCTAGCTATGAGACTACTCGAAGCCTGTCGACGGCAAACGCCGAGCCCCTCCTCACTGGCGTCGCTCGCCACGAGCCGCGTGGCCCAGGGCGCCGTGAGGTCCGCCACCAGGAGCGGCAGCAAGCAGCGAGCGCGCCAAAGCTCCGCGCGCACGGAAGGCCAGAGCGTCTGCACCACCGAGCCCGCGGCCAGCATGAAGGCGCAGGTGGCGTTGAGGAGCCCCAGCGCCTCTCGCCTGACCATCGAGGCCCAGGTCAGGTGGCCCACCAGCGCGCGCACGAGGTGACCTGAGGCGCGCCCGCGCCTCAACAGCTCCTCAATGGCGAACTTCAGCCTCCAGACCATGCGCCCCTTGATGGCCAGCCAGCGGCCCTGCCTCAACTCCATCCAGAGAAAGCTGCACGTGTCGGACGCCCGCTCGGGCTCGTGGACCTTCACGCCAGCGCCCTCCAGCTCCGCGGTGATGCGGTCCAGCGCGCGATCGGCCTCGGCCTCTGCGCTGCCGACGGCCAGGTAGTTGTCAACGTATCCAGCGACCGCCGCCTGGCCTTGAGGCTCCACCAAGACGCCGGGGAGCCCGTCCTCGATGACCAGGTGGGCCGGCACGCCAGCCCGCGACACCGCTGTGCGCAGCGCCAGCTGGCAGAGGTGGAGCGCCCACGAGAAGCCCATCGGGAGCACGACCAGGCACGCCTGAACACGCGGGGCACCAGGAAGACCAGAAATACCACGCGCCTCCAAGTGCCGTCGGTCGATGGGTGGCAACCTGAAGTAGCGGCAAAGGCCTTCGGGCATCAGCATCCTGTAGAAGGCGTTGTCAATATCACCAGCGGCGACAACGACCCTGCCTCCAGGCGCCTCCAGGCCAGCGAAGGCTGCGGCGCTCGGCAGTGCAGTGGCTGGCGGGTCCGTGAAGTACGCGTTCGCAGTACGCGTGTCAAAAATGAGCCTCAGACGATTGCTCTTCTTTGCGACGCAGAAGACTCCAATAGGCTTGATGCTGGGGTCCTCCGCCTCGAAGCAGATCATCTTCCGCTGCAACATCTCAGCAAGGAAGTCGGCGAAGGTCGCCGGAGAGAAAGCAAGATGGGGATCGACGTACGGCCCCCGCGGGCACACCTGCTGCAGGAGGGCGTCTGCCTCCTCGCGTCCACGTAGCATTTTCGTGCTCCAGTCCCTAAGCCACTGAGCGTCCGGGCCAGCAACGACCTTCGTAAGAAGCACGGGGTCGTCACCAGCATCGGGCCACGAGATCAGGTCCCGCGAGTAGGGTCGGCGCGGCCCGCCCGATGCGTACAGCGGGGAGCCAGAAAGAAGATCCGAAAGAGCACCTTCGGGAAAACCCTCATCCTCAACGATCGGCATGAGGCGTGCGAAGGCAGTCTGGATGTGCGCGAGGGACGCCCGTTGACCTTCGGCGAGACCGAGGGATGACGGCTGGGCCCCAGGAGCACACACAGCGTTCATGACGTCGATGGCGTCGTTGGCCAAGTCGTGCCAGAGAGCGTCATCAGGAACCTGAAGGCGTCCACGGCGGCTGCGCCCAAAACTGGCACCCTCGTGCCGGCGGCCCAAGTACGGCAAGGGGAAGATATCCCGCTGGCGCGCGTCTGGTTCAGCACGGCGTGAGAGCGGAGGTGACCTGGCGACCGAAACGGCGGCGCCAGGTGGGCAAAGTGGCGGGAGCGGCCGCCCAACTCCGCTCCCCGCTCCGAGGCTACTTGTCATCCTTGCCAGAGCCCTTGTCGCCCTTGGTCCCCTTCTTGTTCTTGCGGGCCAAGTCGCGCTCCTCTCTGGCTTTGCGCTGCCCCTTGCGGTAAGCGTTCATCTTCGTGAGCTCGTCCTTGATGTGGTCCTGCAGCAACGGCGCCACGCACACGTTACCGCGAAGCTGGTCGGCGCCCATCAGCACGTGGGCGTCGAGGCTCCCTGAGTCGACTGCCGGGGCGACTCGATCCCTGTAGCGCTCCTCCTGGAGCTGCACGGTCCTGGCTAGCATCTCGCCTGAGGCGAGGTTCGCCACGTTGAGCTGGTCGTAGATCACCATGCGCTCGAGCGTCCTGCAAGCCCGTTCGTGCTCGTCGACGCCTGGCTCATGGCCCTGCAGACGCGTCTCCGACAGCCACCGTGAGTGGCGCCCCGTCGGAGTGCCTCCGTGGGCCTCCATGAACTTGAGGACCCACAGCGCCGTCCTGGGGCCTCTGACTGGCCAGTCAGGGAAGGCCCCCTCCGACATGCCCATGACCGCCGTGCGAAAGTCCGCGTGCCGCTGCCCCTGCAAGTCGTAGGTGACCGGCTGGATGCGCGCGTCGGCCTGCGCAGGGGCGGCCAGCGCACCACCCCCAGCTGCGGCAGCGGCGGCGATCGGCGCAACGGCGGGCGCCGCGACCAGCGGCGGCGGCGGGCCCTCGGCCACGGGAGCGCCTGCCGCGGGGGCCGCTGGCGCGCCCCCAAGCACGGCAGCCAGGCCGGCAACTCCGGCCGCCACAGCGGGGGCACCACCCGCGGGCGCGGGCACAGCAGGCGGTCCAGCGACCAGCATCCCAGCGGGCGGCATGCCTCCGCCGGCAGCGGGCGCTGCCACCAAACCTCCAGCAGCCGCCGCCGCTCCCACTGCGCCAGGCCGAGGTCGCGCTCCACCGCCGCCGCCAATCAGGTTGGGCGTCACCGCATCGCCCGCGCCTAGCTGGATCCCCAGCCGCGCCGCTGCAGCCGCCAGCACCTGCGCGACCCGCACGGGCGAAGGTACCCCCCTGAAGCCGTGCACGTGCATACCTGCGGCCGCCGGCGGGTAGGCGCCCATGCGCCCGCCAACACAGGGAAGCCAGCGCCGCACCTCCGCGGCCGAGAAGAGATCCTCCTCATAGCTGTCGTCGTCGGGCGTGAGGGTGCAGGTGAGGCTAGAGCCGTCGGGAGCGAGCACCACCAAGCGCTCGTGAAACACGTTGGGGTATCCCGCGTACTCGACCAGGATGAAGTCCCCCTCCTGAAGGCCCAGCGCGGCAACGGGGTGCACGGCCGCCATCGCCATCTCCTGCTCAGCGGGTCAGCTGAGGCCGCGAGGCCCGCAGAGCCGCCACCTGCGCCGCCGCCAGCTGCGCTGCAGAGGTCGGCGTCTCCAGCGCTGCTGGAGCAGGTTCCGCGGCCGCGCTCGGCGGCGCAGGGGCCGAGGATGGAGCAGCGCTGCTCCACCTGCTGAAAGCCCAGCCCGCGGCGGCCCCCACGGCCACGCTGACCAGCCAGGCGATGCTGGCCCCCAGCAGCTCTGGCCGCTGGACCTCGGAGACCGAGCCGCCTGGGCACGCCAGCCGCGGCTCGCAGGAGCACGTGCACGAGGGGCACGCAGGGCAAGACGGGCACTGCGCACCCCAGGCCGCGCCCCACGCCGCCGCGCCCGCGGCGAACCCCCGCGTGGCCTCGCGAAGGAGGAGGCCGGCGGGGTCCATGCGCGGCCCGACGCGCCTCCGCTCGGAAGCCCCTGGGGCCTCGGAGCTTGAGCAGATCGGCCGCGGAAGCGCGGTGCGGCCGCCTGCTCGCTCCCCTCCTCGCTTCACGATGTGAAATCTCCCATATATAACGGGCCCTGGGCCCTGGGAGGGTCCCAGGAGACTGGAAACGATCCAAAACCGCAGGGCCCGTGTTCCTGAGCACTCGACTGCTTTTTACTCGGCGTCTCCGAGGAGTTGGGTTAACAGAGGGTGCGGCTTGCAGCGCGCCCCCTGGGGGGGGGCGGCAAAGACGTCGGCAGAGTTCTCCGCCGCGCCCCGAGGAGGGCTCGCCAAACCTGTGGCACAGCGTGGTGGTCCTGTAGGTCCCGGCGGCGCCGATCGCAGACCTCACCCTGGTTTCCCTTGGCGGCGCGCACAAAAAGAGGGTAGCGGGAGGGGGGGGGGGAGGTTTCTTGAGGCCCGCGCCTTCTAAGAAGCCGGGGTTCTTCTGAGAATCAAGGGGCCCCAGAACACACAAATAAATACACACAAATAAACAGATTCCCCATATTTTCCCAAATTTTTACCTAACAGCGAAGACTGATAGGTTTCTAGTGGGATCAAAAGAGAGCAGCAGATCACTCCACAGGGGGGTCCGGGCAGGTGTTGGGGCGTTTCCGGGCGGCATGAGCCGGGCTCGTTTTTCACCAACAGTCACACACTTCGTGCTCTTCGCCTTCCCAGAACTCCATTCCCAGGCCACATTCTGGGGGGCCGGATGCAACTGTAGGCCACTTCGTGCTCTTCGACTTCCCAGAACTCCATTCCCGGGCCACATTTTGGATGCCCGGAGCCAACTGTAGGCCACTTCGTGCTCGTCCCAGAACTCCATTCCATTTTTGCCCCCTGTAGGCCAACTCCATTCCCGGGCCACATTTTGAATGCCCGGAGCCAACTGTAGGCCACTTCGTGCTCTTCGAGTTCCCAGAACTCCATTCCCGGGCCACATTTTGAATGCCCGGAGCCAACTGTAGGCCACTTCGTGCTCTTCGAGTTCCCAGAACTCCATTCCCGGGCCACATTTTGAATGCCCGTAGCCAACTGTAGGCAACTTCGTGCTCTTCGACTTCCCAGAACTCCCATTCCTGGGCCACATTTTCAGCAGGGGCAAGAGCACGACGAGGAGGAGGACGAGCAAGACCAGGAGGACGAGGACGAGCAGGAGCAGGACGAGGAGCAGGAGGAGCAGGAGAAGAAGGACGAGCAGGAGGAGGAGGAGGACGAGCAGGAGGAGGAGGACGACCAGGAGGAGGAGGACGACCAGGAAGAGGAGGAGGAGGAGGGGAGGGGGAGGAGTACCAGGAGGAGGAGGAGGAGGAGGAGGAGGAGGGAGGAGGAAGAGGAGGAGAGGAGGTAGGAGGAGGTAGGAGGAGGAGGACGACGGCGACGAGGAGGGAGGAGGAGGATGGGGAGGGGTGGGAGTAGTACCAGGAGGTGGAGAACGAGGACCACCTGAGTAGGAGGAGTAGAGGAGGAGGAGGAGGAGGAGGAGGAGGAGGAGGAGGAGGGAGAGGAGGAGGAGGAGAGAACACCAGGAGGAGGAGGACGAGCAAGACGAGGAGGACGAGAACGAGGACGACCAGGAAGAGGAGGAGGAGGAGGAGGAGGGGAGGGGGAGGACTACCAGGAGGAGGAGGAGGAGGAGGAGGTGGAGGAGGAAGAGGAGGAGGAGGACGAGGAGGAGGAGGAGGAGGAGGACGAGGAGGAGGAGGGGGGGGGAGAGCACCAGGAGGAGGAGAACGAGGACCACCAGGAGGAGGAGGAGGAGGAGGAGGAGGAGGAGGAGGAGGAGGAGGAGGAGGAGGAGGAGGAGGAGAGAGCACCAGGAGGAGGAGGACGAGCAAGACGAGGAGGACGTGAACGAGGACGAGCAGGAGGAAGAGGAGGAGGAGGAGGAGGAGGAGGAGGAGGAGGAGCAGGAGAAAGAGGAGGAGGAGGAGGAGGCAGGCTGAGGCTGAGGCTGTGACTGCGACTGCCGTTGCCGCTGCGACTGTCATCGCGAATGCGACTACGACTGCGTGAACAGCAGAATTCGACAACTGGATTTTCATCTGAATCTTAAGGGGAATGCTTTCAGATATGCTTCTACACATCGCTGTTAGGTTGCTTTGCCGGGATACTTTATTTCTATGCATGCATGCATGTATGCATGTATGCATGCATGTAGGTCAGTGAAAATACTCTTTCTATGCATGCATGTATGTCTGTATGTATTTCTGTATGTGTGTATCTATGTAAAAATGTATGATGTCACACATACGACGGTATGTAACTCTCAGTGCATGTCTCGACGTACGCATGTGTATGTGTATGTGACTGTGTAGGTATACGTCTATGTGTAGAGACATGGCTATGCGCGTCGAACTAGTATGTTTACATGTGTGTATGTATGTATATGTGTATGTCATTGCTGCTGTATGCTCTTCTTTCATACGGTTCTGGTCGACCACTGTGTCAGACAACATGCAACTAAACAAAAGAACACCGCCCTCAGGGTTCAGCCAGCAACGCTTCCAACTTGACTTTGGATACTCGTCTGGTGATCCACCGTCCCTGCTTTTTCATTCTTTCATACTCGGAGCCGCCGCGAGCGTGCACTGCGGATGCCAGCTCCTCGTAACTCCTCTTCCGCGCCCCCGTGCCTGCAGGCTTCTGCATACCGCGCTTCACCAGCACCGCGAGCTTCTTCTTAGCATGCGACTTCGCGTACTTGATACCCAGGCCCTTCGCGGCCTTGACCAAGCCGCGATACTGCTGTGTGTGCTGGACCTTCTGAGTCACAACGCTCAGACAACTCGCCAGCACACGGAACTCTGGAATACCGCCCAATTCAACCTTGGGACACAAACGGCGGCGACCCATCTGAAACGCCACCTCGAAAGGTCCGCCAGCGCGTTTGGAGGGTAACTTCCGCAGCACAGCGAGTGATACACCCACGCAGCTGCGGATCCCCTCCAAAACCTGAATTGTGTGAGAACGCGTGGATACACTGTATGCTAGCCGATTTCGGACACGCGAAACGTTTGCCCGCACAGACTTGCTCTTGTCATACAGCTCAATGAGGTACCAAAGACCACGCAGCGAATACCTGTTGATAGCCTGCCGCGTCTCGCAGAACAATACATGCATGGTCGCGGCACTCACTTGAGACGTGGTGTTTAGAGCCTTCCTCATACGACCCAATGCTGCGGTCATACTGTCGCAGGACACCGCGCCAAAATACGCGAGCTCCGCCGCAGCATCGCGTCCATACTTCCGACACTGCCGCTTCAGAAACCACTGATGCAGCTCCTCGGTATACTCCGTTGGCGTGCAGCCCATGCAAAACTCAAGCATGTGCATAAAACACCGCATGCAGTCCATGCTGTTATACTTACCTGCCATCTTCACCTGGTTCTTCTGAACAGCCACGGCCACATAGTCCGGGACACTGTCCCCGATGGCCATGATGTCAGCGCTCGCGACCGAGACGCCCTCCACACGGGGACGCTGAAGCCCCGATACTACGTGCGCCCACTTCTCCGCAAATGCAACAAGGCGCCGTCGTAGACGAGCCATGCGAAGAGTGCGAATGAAGTTCAAACCAGAATACGCAATGTGCAAACCTTCCCGATGGGCCAAATACGAGCACCCCCTCTCTTTGCATACTGCCTCGCAGTGCCGCACGAGCCCACAACAAAATGAATCGAAGTTCTCGACGAATACACTCCACTGATCCAAAAGGTAGTCACATACGACAGGTACTCCTGCCTGACCTCTGGTGAAACGCAATAATACAAAGGAGAGCAAGAAAAGATACCCTGCGGAGTCCATGCCAAGGCAATACGTGGCCAAGAATAACCCCCTCTTGAGCCTAAGTGCCTATGAACAACACACACAGACATCGTCGTCGCCGTTGTTGTTGTTTCCTGATGGTGATGGTGATGGTGGTGATGGTCATGATGGTGATGATGATGGTGATGGTGGTGTTGGTGATGGTGGATGTTTCCTGATGGTGGTGATGGTGATGGTGATGGTGATGGTGGTGTTGGTGATGGTGATGATGAGGGGGAGGAGGAGGAGGAGGAGGAGGAGGAGGCGGATGAGGAGAAGGCTGAGGAGGAGGAGGCGGAGGAGGAGGAGGAGGATAAGGGCGATCAGAAGAGCCAAAGGCCTCTTGAATGCCTCTCGGAGTCTACTAGGATGTATCTTGGGAGCTTTTTAGAAGCCTCTTGGGGCGTCTTGGGGGCCTCCTCGCGTGACCCGGGGGCCTCTTGGAGCATCCTGGGTGCCTCGGGGAGCCCCTTGGGGCTTCTTGGGGGTCTCTTGGGCGCCTCTTGGGCGCCTCTTGGGGCCCCCAGGGCGCCTCTTCAGGACCTCTTGGGGCGCTCTTGGGAGCCTCGGGGGCGCTCTTGGGGCCATCTTGGAGGACATGCGATTTTTTCTATGAAGGCATGCACTTGGACTCCAGCTCATAAGCGCGAGCAGACCGGGGACGCTGTGGTGATACCCCACTTAACCAATTCGGTGTAGAACTGACGCAGAATGGCAATGCTGCCAGAAGAAAAGTGGCCAATACGATCCGCAAGCTCCACTCCATTCAGCAGCTCTGCCCCAGTCCTGGCATCGAGCCCCGGATACGCGCTTCGCTGTGCCAGAATGTGTCCGCAGACTATACCGCATAGACGATCATACTCGCGACGCGCCCCTGAGTCGAAGTGCTTGGCGTACTGCCACACCTCACTGGGCCCCCCATACAGGAAGCAATGCTGAGGGCAATACGCGAAAGCCTGGGTGAGAAATGACCCCACGGCGCCGAGCAGCCCAGGCTCATGCGCCCGCATGTCGGCCCGAGGTGGGTAGAGATCATTCCCCAGGGATATCCATGCCACGAATCGCGGCGCCTCACAGCGCGCCGTGATGCATTGAAGTACGCACTGATACGTCCGGGATGGATCCCAATCATTGCAGAACGCGAG